TGTTATTATGAATTACTCTGTGTTATTTTCATCCCTTTTCTTCTTTGGCAGCCTAATTGGGATCTGATCATTTGAGGAATGTAGTTTTGATTGTAGGAAGGGAAGAAAATGTTTAAGAGTGAGTAATGGTCTGGTGGAGACGGCTATCTAAGTGGGGCGCTGAAGTGAGGGTGGCCAGGATCGTGTCAGAAACTGGGAAGGTCAGGAACTAGAAGACCAAGAAAGAATGCCGAAGATAAGTCTGGCTTGCCTGTACGATTACTGTGGGTCGTCTCACGCCTGGAAAAGAAAGAGAAATGACTTCACCCTCCCTTTGGCAAATACTACCCTTTGGCAAACACTGATTGATTGCAGGTTAGCTAGGAGTTTGTGGAATGAAGGGAGAGCCCATCCCTGTGCATAAGGTTAGTCCCACTCAGAAAGTGTATACAAGAATACCTTCTTTAATTGCACTTTCCCTTATTATGCTTCACAGATGTTGCTTTTTTTTTTTTTTTTTTTTGCAAATTGGAGATTTGTGGCGACCCTGTGTCGAACAAGTCTATCAGTGCCATTTTTCCAACAACATTGGCTCACTTCATGTCTCTATATCACATTTTGGTAATTCTTAAAGTATTGTTCTGATTATCTGTGATCAGTGATCTTTGATGTACTATTGTATTTGTTTGGAGTGCCCTGAACCATACCCGTATAAGAGGGCGAACTTAATCAGTACGTGTCCTATGTGGTCTGACTGCTCCTTCAGCTGGCCATTCCCGTGTCTCTTTCCCTCTCCTCAGTCCTCCCTAATCCATGAGACACAGCAGTATTAAAATCAGGCCCATTAATAACCCTACAATGGCCTGTAAGTGTTCAAGTGAAATGAAGAGAACATGTGTGTCACTTTAAATCAAAAGCTAGAAATGGATTAAGCTCAGTGAGGAAGGTGTATCAAAAGCCAAGATAGGCAGGAAGCTAGGCCTCTTGTGCCAAATGCCCAGACTGTGAATGCAAAGGAAAACTGCTAAGCAAACTAAAAGTGCTACTCCGGTGAACACATGACTGATAAGAAAGCTAAACAGCCTTGGTGCTGATAGGGAGAAAATCTGAGTGGTCTGGATAGAAGATCAAACCAGCCACAACATTCCTCAAGCCAAAACCTAATAATTCAGAGCAAGGCTCTAACTCTCTTCAATTCCATGAAGGCGGAGAGAAGTGAAAAAGCTGCAGAAGAAAAGTTTGAGGCTAGCAGAAGTTGGTTCACGAGGTTTAAGAAAAGAAGCTGTCTCCAGAACACAAAGTGCAAGGTGAGGCAGCAAGTGCTGATGTAGGAGCTGCAGCAAACTACCCAGAGATCTAGGTTAGATAGTTAATGAAGGTGGCTACACTAAACAGAGTTTCAGTGTAGATGAAACAGCCTTCTATTGGAAGAAGATGCCATCTAGGACTTTCATAGTTAGAAGTCAAGGCCTGGCTTCAAAGCTTCAAAGGACAGGCTGACTCTCGTATTAGGGGCTAATGCAGTGGTTGACTTGAAGTTGAAGCCAGTGTTTATATACGCTTTCAAAATCTAGAGCCTTTAAGAATTATGCCAAACCTATTCTACTTGTGCTCTATAAATGGAACAACAAAGCCTGGATAGTAGCACTTCTGTTTACAACCATGATTTACTGAGTATTTTAAACTAGATCTACTGCTCAGGAAAAAATTTTTCTTTCAAAATATTGCTGCTCATTGACAATGCACCTGGTCACCTAAGAGCTCTGATGGAGGTGGACAATGAGATTAATGTTTCCATGCCTGTTAACACAGCGCCCGTTCTGTAGCCCATGGATCAAGGAGTAATTTTAATTTTTAAGTCTTTATTATTTATTAAATGTGTTTTGTAAGGCTATAGCTGCCATAGAGAGTGATTTCCTTTGATGGATCTGGGAACAGTAAACTGAAAACCTTCTGGAAAGGATTAACCATTTGAATACTTTAAAGGCATTTGTGATTCATGGGAAGAGGCCAAATTATTAACATTAAGAGAAGTCTGGAAGAAGTTGATTCCGACCCTCATGGATGACCATGAGGGGTTCAGGACTTCCGTGGAGGAAGTCACTGCAGATGTGGTGTAAATAACAAGAGACCTAGGCTGAGAAGTGGGGCCTGATGATGTGACAGAATTGCTACAATCTCAGGACAAAACATGAACAGAAGAGGGGCTGCTTCTCAGGGATGAGCACAGAAAGTGGTTTCCTGAGATAGAATCTCCTCCTGGTGAAGATGCTGTGAAAATTATTGAAATGACAACAAGGATTTAGAATATGACATAAACTTAGTTTATAAAGCAGCAGCAAAGTTTGAGAGGATTGATTCCAATTTTGAAAGTTCTACCATGGGTAAGATGGTATCACCATCATGTGCTACAGAGAACTTGTTCATGAAAGGAAGAGTCCATGGATGAGGCAAACTTCATTGTTGCCTTATTGTAGGAAATTGCTACCACCACCCCAGCTTTCAGCAACCACCACCCTGATCAGTCAGCAGCAAGAACCTGCACCCCAGAAAAAGATTATAACTCACTGAAATCTCAGATGATGAACACTTTCTAGCAATAAAATATTTTTTTAATTAAGGTATGTACACCGTGTTTTTAGATATGATGCTGTCATGCACTCAATAAATTGTAGTATCATATTAACATAACTTTTATAAATGCAATGGGAAACAAAATATGCATTTGATTTGCTTTCTTGTGAAATCACTTTATTGGGGTGGCTGGGAACCAAACTGCAATATCTCCAAGGTTGAGCCTGTATCAAGTTTTGAACTAACCTTGAGTTGTGATTTTGGAACATACGTTCTGGAAGTATGGACTCACATAAATGGAGTTTAACTGAGTGTGTCCTGGGATCAATCTGCCTGGGTCCGAATCTTGGCTCTGACACTACCTCAGTGATCTTGGACAAGTCTCTTATTTTTCCTGTGCTTCAATTTTTTAATTTGTATATTTGGGGTGATAGTAATTGTACCTATCACTTAGGGCTATAATGAGAAATGAATGAGATAATGTACATGAAGCACTTAGAACAGAGCCTAGCAAAGTGTTGCAAAAGAATGGTATAAGAATTCTATGTTTTCCAGATTTCCCCAACCATGTCCGTTGGTTTTATTTGAGAAAATACAGTCTCTAACTTCTCTGGAATAAGATTTATAAATGTTATTTAAGTGATCCTTTCTTAAGTCCTTTAAACATCTAATGTATTTCACCATAGCAGTCAGGTGTCTTCTTTATACCAAGAAACTTGCCTGCACCGATTCATAATTTTATGTCCCAAACCTAATCTTTCAAATGCAAAACCCCTCTTTCCATATCTTCATTAACAAATTTAGTTACATTTTAATGTAATTAGATAATTATGTGCTCAGGATTCTGAAAGAGACTCAGGTTTAAGACAAATTCCTGAGAGGAAGGTCAAAAGCATTTGTATCTGAATGTAATCATCGAGAATCATTTTCCATACTTTTATTATTTTTTTTAAAGTTTATTTTTTTGGGTTAAACAGAAAGAGTTCGAGCAGGGGAGGAGCAGAAAGAGGGAGAATCCCAAACAGGCTCCGTGCTGTCAGCACAGAATCCAAGGCGGGGCTTGAACTCACGAACCAACTATGAGATCATTGACCTGAGCCAAAACCAAGAGTTGGACACTCAACCGACTGAGCTGCCCAGGCACCCCCATATATTTTATATATAATAAGATCTCTCTTCCAAGATTCTTTTATAGACTCTATCAGACTCTCTCACTCTATCAGTGGCTGGCACATCCCATTATGTTTCTGTAGCACATAGAAATATCAATGGGAAATTTTAATATTCTTGTTTGATCAAGGGATTTTTAAAGCTGAGTTATTCCATCCTTATATAAAAACAGACAGTATGGAAGAGTAGATAGAGCATGAACTGAAAGTTCAAACACCTGGATTATCTTCCAGCTTCTGCCATTAAGAAGATTGTGCTCTCGAGTCTATCCCAGAATCTTCCTAGGCCTGTCTCAAATGAAGAGTTTGAACCAGGTATTGTTGAAGGTTTGGTACAGATCAATATTGTATGATCCTGCAAAGTCCTAGTCACCCGACATTCGTGAAGTGTGTGCTTTGCCTTGACGGACATGTATATTTTCTTTCCCAGTTTCCTTAAAACCATTTGAGATGGCTTGGCCAGATCAGCAGGCAGGGTGAGAGATAGATGGACTTTATTGCTGCCAAGTAGGAAATGCCACCTGGGTCTGTAAGAGAATAAGTCCCTGACCTTCTCATTGTAGCATTCTAATCCAGAAGTGTTCGATTGCCTGGCGGATGCATAGAGATAGGCTCACGGGTCATCATTACTCTTACCATTAGCAGACAGTTGTTTGCATTTTTTTCTATTTCGCGAAAGATAAAAGAGAAATCTGAGAAGATAAACAACTTTAAAAACCGAAGATAAATGGTTTCTTCCTGTAGATAAATAGCTGACTTTCCACTCGTCTCTCCTTTTTCTTTCTTTCTTTTCTTTTCTTTTTTTTTTTTTCTGGGGAGGCAGCTTTCTGTCTGCCTCTCAGAGATACTTTTAATTTCTCAAAGGGAAGATAAAGAAATGAGATTAACCTATTTTGTGACCTACTTCTGCTTTTCCAATTTGGGGACCTTCATTTCTATGTTAATTTACTCCATTTGATATTAACTAGAACTTTTTTTGACAGGTTTACTTTAGCACAGGAAAATTAGGGAAAAAATCATTTGGGATAAATGGTTTTATTTCTACAAGAGATGGTGAGCTGATATGTTATGGGACTGGCTTATTGCTCCAAGAATCATGATAATAGGGTAGCTGAAATTCTCGTTTTAGGACTTACTGTGGAAATATAAATTGTTGACTATAGTAAATATAAATTAAGGTGATATCACAGCACTGGCAGCCAGCTTTTCTTTAATTTCATTGTTATTTCAGGAAGTGGTCTATAAAAACGTTAATTTTCATCTTTTCTTTTCTTCCAGTCACGGACTCCTGCCCTGTAGATCCTTCTGTGAGGCTGCAAAAGAGGGCTGTGAATCAGTCCTGGGGATGGTGAATGCCTCCTGGCCGGATTTCCTCAAATGCTCCCAGTTTAGAAACCAAAACGAAAGCAGCAACGTCAGCAGGATTTGCTTCTCACCGCAGCAGGAAAAAGGAAAGCAATGTAGGTGTCCGTGTTTCATTGCATTAAAAAACTTTTTATTGACAAATACCATTCACACATGCAAATATGCAAATAATGTATACTTCATAAAATAAATTTTATGAAAGTGACCAGATCCTTATAACCAGCACCCAGATCAAGAAATAGATCACACCAAACTTACACATAAATGTTGATAAGTGGCATTATTTATGGTAACCAAAAAGTGGAGACAACCCAAATGTTCCTCAACTAATGTATGGATTTAAAAAAATAGTATATTCATACAGTGGAATATTAATTGACAGTAAAAATGCATGAAGTACTGATACATGCTACAACATGGATTAACCTTGAACATATTAGTTAAGTGGAAGAAGCAAATCATAAAAGGCCCAGCATCCCAGAAAATCTCTCAGGCCCCCTTCTAGTCATCTGAAAGAATCCCAAAAGAAACCTCTCTTCTAAGAGAAGCAATCTAAGGCGACTTCTGTCATCTTAGATAGGCTTGCCTACTTTTGAGCTTCATGACATTGGAATCAGGCAGGATGGACTCCTTTTGTATCTAGCATCATTTGCTCAGCATTATGTTTGAAAGATTCGTTATGTTTTCACCTTGTGGTTCCTTCCTTCTCATCGTTGTATTCTAATATATGATTATATCCCAATATACTTTTCTTTTTTTTTTTGTGCCTACTATGTTTTTTTTTTTACAAATAGTTTATTGTCAAATTAGTTTCCATATAACACCCAGTGCTCGTCCCCACAAGTGCCCTTCTCCATGCCCATCCCTCCTCCCCCAACATCCATCAGTCCTCAGTTTTTGTCAGCATTCAAGAGTCTCTCATGGTTTGCCTCTCTCCTTTTCCCCCCTTCTTCTCCCCCTTGTTCCTCCGTCAAGTTCCTCCTAATCCTCCTATACGTGCAAACATATGGTATTTGTCCTTCTCTGCCTGACTTATTTCACTCAGCATAACACCCTCACGGTCCATCCATGTTGCTACACATGGCCAGGTTTCATTGTTTCTCATTGCCATGTAGTATTCCATGGTATAGATAAACCACATCTTCTTGATCCATTCGTCTGTTGACGGACACTTAGGCTCTTTCCATGTTTTAGCTCCCAATATACTTTTCTATTCAGTTGTTGATGGACAGTTGAATGGTTTCTAGCTGTCATGAATAGTGATGCCATGACTATACTTGTACATGTTTTTGAACATGCTCATATATTTGTTCTCCAAAGAGTTTTTTTCAAGTGGTTAAAAAATCAATTTATCCTCCTACCAGCTATGTTTGAAAACTGCAGTTGCTCCAAATTCTACCCAGCACTTGTTGTGGTCAGTCTTTTTCATTTTAGCAATTCTGATGATGCTCCTTTGAACTTTTGTGGTTTTAAGTTTCATTTTCCTGATGAGTTGGATTGATTTTTCCAAAACTTTTTGTTATGTGACTATTCCTTTTTGCGAAGTGCCTGTCCAGGTATTTTGTCCATTCTTTGATTGGGCAGTCTGCCTTTTTGTTCTGGATTTGCAGTTCCTTATGCATTCTGGATGTGTCAACTCTTGGGAATATGTATTGTGAAGATCTCTGATCTCCCACTTGGTGGGCTTGCTTTTCTTATTAGTATCTATTATGGAATAGAAGGTCTTGATTTTAATGGGTCCAAATTATCAGCCCTCTATTTTGTGATTCATTTTTGATGTCTTATTTAAGACATCTTTGCCTACACCAAAACATAGAAGCTTTTTTTCCACCCTCTGTATTTTCTTCCTGGAGCTTTATTTCAGTACTAACGTTTACACGTACTATATTCTGGGACTAATTTTTGTGTATGGTGAGAGCTATGGATTAACTTTTTTTTTCTGTCCATATATTTAATTGACCCCACTGCCCTTTATTTATTTGGAGTACTGTCTTTCCCTTCTGCGCTGTAATGTCACTGTAATGCTATCAGCCAAGCGATTGATTATATGTACATATATATCTAGACCCTCTGTTTGATATAGAATTAAGCCAATACCACTCTGTATGGATTACTATAGTTTTATAATAAGTCTTTAAATTTAATAGTGTAAGTCCTTCGGCCATTTTCTTAAAGACTGCCTATTCTTTGCCCTTCCATTTTATGTAAATTTTCAAATCACCTTCAGTTGCCACAAAGGCCTTTTGTTTTGTTTTGTTTTGTTTTGTTTTGAATTGGGTTGTATTAAATCCATAGGTCAAATTGGGGAATATTGCTTTACAACATTAGGTCCTCCAACTCATCAAAATAATATACTATGGTAATCTTTAATTAAGTATTTTAATGACTTATTTGTTAATTTCTCTCAAAAACCTTTGGTAATTTCAACCAGAGAGATCTTGCACATCTTCCCTTAGATTTATTCTTCGGTATCTGATATTTTTGATGTCACTGTAAATGGAAACTTAAAAGATTTTTTTTCTGTTTTGTACAAATAAATCACATATTGATTTTTATAACTCTCATTTGGATTTTCCAGGTACACATAATGTCATCTACAAATGGCAGTTTGTTTTCTCCTTTCTAATGATTATGCTTTCTGATTTTTCTCTGTCATAGAGAAAGATTTCAATGTTCTACCTTTAATTATAATGTTTGGAGAAAGACTTTATGGATATCTGTGTCAGATTAAGGAAGTCTCTTCTATTTCTGGTTTGCTAAGGTTTTTTTTTTTAAATCATGAATAGATTTTGAATTTTATCAATTTTCCATACTTATGAGATGATATGATTTTCTCCGTATTATGTTACAAATATAATCTTTAGTGATATATAATGCATATACCTTAATATTCACTCTCTAAAATGTGTAATTGATTGGTTTTGTATACTTAGAGAGTTGTGCAAGCATCACAGCCATCTAATTGCAAGATTTTTTCATTACCCTAAAAAGAAACCCCATACCCATTACCAGTATTCTCCTCTTCCAGTCCCAGGAAATCACTAATCTACTTTCTGATTCTAAGGATTTGTCTATTTTGGCCATTTCACATAAATAGAATCATACGATATGGGACCTTTTGTGATTTGCTGCCTTCATTTAGCATAGTTTTCAAGGCTTATCCATGTTGCAGTATGTATCAGCACTTCATGCATTTTTATCGTCAATTGTTATTTCTTTGTATGAATATACTATTTTTCTTTTATCCATACATTAGTTGAGGAACATTTGGATTGTTTCTACTTTTTGTTTATTATGAATGATGCTACTACAATGAACTTTCATGTGCAAGTTTTATGTGAATATATGTGTCAATTCCCTTGGCTATACATCTTGGAGTAGAATTGCTGTGTAACTCTGTTTAACATTTTGAGGAAACGCCAGTCTCACCAGCAGTGTAGAAGGTTCCAGTTTCTCCACATCCTCACCAACACTTGTTGTCCTTTTTGATTGTAACCTTGCTGGGTTGGAAGCAGTATCTCATTGTGGTTTTGTTTTACATTTTGCTAATGACTAATTATGTAGATAATTCAACATTTCATGAGCTTGTTAGCCATTTGTATGCCTTCTTACAAATATATTTTCAAATGTGAGGCCTGTTTTAAAATTAGGTAATTTGTCTTTAAATTGTTGAATTATAAGAATTCTTCATCCATTCTGGATATAATATGTCAGATATATTATTTGCAAATATTTTCTTATGTTCTGTAGGGTGTCTTTTCAAATGATTTTCCTTTTTCTTTTTTCCCCCCAAGTGATTTTCAAGTGACTTTTCTTTCTTTTTTAATGTTTATTTATTTTGAGAAAGAAAGAGAGAGACCACAAGCATGAGAGGGACAGAGAGAGAGGGAGAGAGAGAATCCCAAGCAGGCTCCACATTGTCAGCATGGAGCCCAACACAGGGCTTGATTTCACAACCAGGAGATCATGACCTGAGCCAAAGCCAAGAGTTGGATCCTTAACTGACTGAGCCATCCAGGTGCCCCTCAAGTGACTTTTCTCGATTGTGTCAAGAAAAAAGTTTTTTTTTTTAACTTTGTTAAAAATAGTTTTTAAGTTTTTTTTTTAACTTTGAAGAAGTTCAATTTATCTATCTTTTGTCACTTCTGCTTTGAATGTCATGTCTAAAAAAATTGTAGTCTAACCCAAGGTTGCTAATATTTACTTGTTTTCTTCTAAGAGTTTAAGTTTTTAGCTCTCATATGTAGGTCATCAATTCATTTTGAATTAATTTTCATATATGGTATGAGGTAGGAGTCTAACCTCATCCAGTTAACTGTTGAAGAGACAGTTCTTTCTCCATTGAATGGACTTGGTATCCTTGTCAAAAATCAATTGACCATAGATGTATGGGTTTATCTCTGAAATCTCAATTAAATTCCATTGATTGATATGTTTATTCTTATGTGAGTATTCACTGTATTGATTACTATAGCTTTGTAGTAAGATGATTACTAGAAGTGAAGAAGGAAGGACATTTGAAAATGATAAAAGAGTCAACCCATCAAGAAGCCATAATCTAACGTCAGAGCCCAGAAATACATAAAGCAAAATCTTACAGAATTAAAGGGAAAAATAGATAAGGGTTAATACTCCCCTTTCAATAGTGTATAGCAAAACTAGGTAGAAGATCTATAAGGAGGAAGAATTAAAAAACAATATAAACCAACTTGATTTAATAGGCATCTGTAGAACATTCCATCTAACAATAGCAGAATATATGTAAGCATCTATGCATCTCAAGTTTTTCATTTTTTAAAGTTTTATTTATTTATTTTTGAAAGAGAGAGAGAGAGTGAGCCTGAGTGGGGGAGGGTCAGAGAGAGAGGGAGAGAGAACAACAAGCAGACTCTACACTATCAACGCAGAGCCCCATTTGTGACTCAAATTCATGAACTGTGAGATCATGACCTGAGCCAAAATCAAGTCAGAGGCTTAACTGACTGAGCCACCTAGGCTCCACTCAAATTTTTTATTTCTTTATTAAAAATTTTTAATGTTTTATTTATTTCTGAGAGAGAGAGAGAGAGACAGCGTGAGCAGGGGAGAGTCAGAA